GTCGGCGGTGTCTTGCGTCGCTGACAGTCCCGGCATGTCCTCACATAACGAGTGACGTCGGTGGTAAGACGTGGCCAGTAGTACCTTTCTTGTATCCTCGCGAGCGTGCGGGAAACACCGAGGTGCCCTGCCGTCGGATCGTCGTGCAGGGCCTGCAGGAGTTCTGGTTGCAGAGCTGAAGGCACCACAAGGAGGTACTTAGCTCGAAGCGGTGAAAAGTTTTTCTTTTGTAGAAGACCGTTTCGTAGAAAGAACGACGCAAGTGCGCGCTTGAATATCTTCGGGACTTCGGCGGTCCTGCCTTCGAGGTATTCTATTAGGGCTTTAAGTTCCGGGTCGGCCCGCTGTCGTTCAGTGAAGTCGTCGGTAGTTATCGTTCCCAAGAAGTAGTCGTCATCCGAGTCGTCGGGTAGCGGTTGGTCGACAGGCGCACGAGAGAGACAGTCAGCGTCGGAGTGTTTTTTGCCGGACTTGTAAATGACAGTAATGTCATATTCTTGAAGTCTCAGGCTCCATCGTGCGAGGCGACCTGAAGGTTCCTTCAAGGTGGCTAGCCAACACAAGGCGTGGTGGTCGCTCACAACTTTGAAGGGCCTGCCGTAGAGGTAGGGACGAAATTTCGACGTAGCCCAGATGATGGCGAGGCACTCCTTTTCTGTTGTGGAATAATTTGCTTCTGCTTTGGATAGCGATCGGCTGGCGTAACTAATAACCCTTTCAAGTCCGTCGGCCCTCTGCACAAGAACGGCGCCAAGACCTACGCTGCTTGCATCAGTATGTATTTCTGTCTCGGCGAATTCGTCGAAATGGGCAAGTAACGGAGGCGACTGGAGGCGATGTTTAAGCTCCTGGAAAGCGTGTTCCTGCGGCGTTTCCCACTTAAACTCCACGTCGGCCTTGGTAAGGTTAGTCAGAGGATCGGCGATGTGGGCGAAGTTTTTCACGAACCGCCTATAATAGGCACACAGGCCCAGAAATCGGCGCACGGCTTTCTTGTCAGTGGGCGGCGGGAAGTCGGCGATAGCGGCTGTTTTCCGTGGATCGGGACGAACTCCAGACTTGCTGATAACGTGCCCCAGAAACAAGAGCTCCTCATATGCAAATCTGCACTTTTCTGGCTTCAGTGTGAGTCCGGACGTCTTGATGGCTTGAAGTACAGCTTCAAGGCGCCGAAGATGCTCGTCGAAACTCGAGGAAAACACGACGACGTCGTCCAAGTACACAAGGCAAGTCTGCCACTTCAATCCTGCCAGTACTGTATCCATAACGCGTTTAAAAGTTGCAGGCGCTGAGCAAAGACCGAAGGGCATCACCTTAAACTCGAAGAGGCCGTCCGGTGTTATAAACGCCGTCTTCTCTCGGTCTCTTTCGTCGACTTCGATTTGCCAATAGCCAGTCTTGAGGTCCATTGACGAGAAGTACTTGGCGTTATGGAGCCGATCAAGGGCGTCGTCTATTCGTGGGAGAGGATACACGTCCTTTCTTGTGATTTTGTTCAGGCGGCGATAATCGACGCAGAAACGTAGGGTCCCATCCTTTTTCTTCACTAACACCACGGGGGACGCCCACGGACTCTTGGACGGCTGGATAATGTCATCTCGCAACATTTCATCAACTTGTCTCTTCATTGCCTCACGTTCTCGCGTCGAAACCCTGTACGGACTCTGACGGAGTGGTCTGGCATTTTCTTCGGTTATGATTCGATGTTTCATGATTGGGGTCTGCCGAATTTTCGATGACGACGAAAAGCAATCTTCGTATTGCAGGAGCAGGGCCTTGAGCTGTTCTTGCTTATCGTTCGGAAGTCTGGGATTGACGTCGAAAGCTATGGGAGGGGCTTGGTTCCTCTGAGCAGGTTCCGCAGAATCGGCGAGGGCGAAAGCACTGGTGGCTTCGACAATTTCTTCGATGTATGCGACCGTTGTTCCTTTGTTCACATGTTTGTACTCATTGCTGAAATTCGTGAGCATAACCGTTGCTTTGCCTCCCCGCAGCTCTGCAATTCCTCTTGCGACGCAAATATTTCGGGTGACCAACAGATGCTGACTGCCTTCAACGACGCCTTCCAAGTCAGGTGATTTAGGAGCGCCGACTGAAATAATGACGCTTGAGCGAGGCGGAATGGTGACTTGTTCTTCCAGCACATTCAAGGCATGGTGTCCTGACGGCGTGCGCGGCGGTAGTGCTTCTTCTGTGGATAACGTTATCGACCTTGTTTTTAGGTTGATGACAGCACCATGGAGGCATAAGAAGTCCATGCCAAGGATGACATCTCTCGAGCAACGCTGTAGGACTACGAAGTCTGTAGGATAAATACGTCCGTTAATGGTGACTCTCGCTGTGCAGATTCCTGCAGGCGTTACGAGATGACCTCCGGCTGTGCGGATTTCAGGGCCTTTCCAAGCTGTCCTAACTTTCTTTAACTTCGCGGCGAACGACCCACTGATGACAGAATAGTCGGCTCCAGTATCGACGAGAGCGGTCACACTGTGGCCGTCGATAAGAACGTCGAGGTCGCTAGTTCGCCGTCTCGCATTACAGTTAGGGCGTGGCGTCGGGTCACGGCTGCGTCGGCTTGTTCCGCTGCTTCCATGTTGCGTCGTCCGGCCACCTTCGGTAAGTGAGCTTTTGCCTTCAGGGCTTTGCCTGGTCGGGGTTGTGTTCAAAAAGCTCCGTCGCGTCGGCGTCGTCGTCGTCGGAGGATCTTCGGTAGTTCGTCGCACAGCAACCGCACCTTCATCGGTTGCTGCCCTTAGTTTCCCGGATACGGGCTAGGAGACCGGCCCCGCGTTGGGCCAGAGTACTGCCGGGGGTGCGGTGACATGCGGCGGCTGGGCGACGGCGAACGGGAAGGACTTCGTGGTGTCCATTGAGTTCCTGCCAGGTAGTCGGCGATGTCACGTGGCCGATCTCCTGGCTGCGGACGCGGTGCATTGACGGCGAAGCCACGCAGTCCCATCTGTCGGTACTGGCAACGGCGGTATGTGTGTCCGGCCTCGCCGCAGTGGTAGCAGAGCGGGCGATGGTCAGGGGTGCGCCAGACGTCAGTCTTCCTCGGTGCACTGCGCTGGCCCGCTGGGGAACGGTAGGACGTCGGTTGGGGTGGTGGCGGCGGTGGCGTCTGGCGACGGAAGTGTGACGGGGCGGCGTTTTGGCGTGGACGGGAAGGAGCGTTGTGGCGCACTGCAGCGGCGTAGCTCATAGTTTCTGGCTCGGGACGGCGGTGTTTCGGGAATTCGAAGCGATTGCCGGACTTCTTCTCGCACAATGTCGGCGATCGAATCCACTTGAGGCTGCGCCGAAGGCAACAGTTTGCGCAGCTCTTCCCGCACGATCGCTCGGATCGTTTCACGCAGGTCGTCGGAGTCACTGGCTTGAGCAGCAGCGCATTCTGGAGTCAGGCGACGATTATACTGTCTGGTGCGCATGTCCAGCGTTTTTTCGATGGTGGTCGCCTCGGATACAAATTCTTGGACAGTGTTCGGTGGATTCCTCATTAGTCCCACGAAGAGCTCCTGTTTGACCCCTCGCATGAGGAAACAAACTTTCTTTTCCTCAGGCATGTCTGGGTCAGCGTGACGGAATAGGCGGGTCATCTCCTCTGTGAAAATTCCAACCTTTTCATTTGGTAGCTGAACCCGGGTCTCGAGTAGAGCAGCGGCCCTCTCTTTGCGAGCGACGCTTGCGAACGTTTGAAGAAATGCGCCACAGAAGACATCCCACGTTCGGAGCGTGGACTCCCGATTCTCTAGCCAGGTCTTTGCGGTGTCTTCCAGGTAGAAGTACACACGACGGAGCTTTTCTTCGTTGTCCCAGTGGTTGAGGGCGGCCACACGGTCGTATGTTTCTATCCAGGTTTCCGGGTCTTCAAACGATGAGCCATGGAACGTTGGTGGTTCCCTGGGTTGATGAATGACGATCGCGGGCTGGGACGCTCCGGTTGTCATTGTCGCTGCAGTCGAGGTCATGGTCTTGGTCTTCCGCGCTTTGTCTTGTAGCAGGCCGTACTCCGGTGGGAGACCTTGCTGTCGGCGGCTCGTTCGCTGCTCTTGGTTGGCGTCGGTGTCTTCTACGCGAAGGGGGCTGGGTTCACGGCTTGACGGGGGCGTCCGGTACATGAACGAAGCAGCACCTCCACCAGATGTCACGGAATCGTGACGTGGCCAAAGACGGAAAACTTCGTGTAGGGATTTAACTGTTTATTTGGGCGAACCTGTGCCCGGTAAAGGGAAAGCCTAATTACAGCAGCAGTCTTGCACAGATAGCAGTCTCGGACTGATAGCGGCGAACGCAGCGTCGGCCTTCGATCAACAACTCAACAACTGACAAGCGGCGAAGCGCGTCGGCATTTATACCCTTGCCGTCGAATGTTCTAGCGTTATCGCTGGCGGTGGCGTAGGTTCCAGAACAATCTGTACCGTTCGCACAGTGGGCGTGATCTTATCGAAATGATATACTACAGTCCGGAACCTTCTAGGAACCTGCAGGCACGGTTTGCGCCGAGAATCGTGTGGTGTCTCGGAACGATAACAAAAACTTGTGAAACGGAACGTGGCAATATAGGCGAAATAAATAGGTATTATTTAGTAATGCTATTGAAGTTAATATATAGTGTGCTTTGCATAAAACATTAATAAAAGCGTGTGATGCACGTAAGTGTATAAAATTGTTTTTTTCTGCCAAAAGAAAACTGTTCAATCCATAGAACATGTTTGTTATCTTACTGTACTAGTCTCTCATTTTGTTTTGATTTTTGACATGTGGGCATACCATAGTCCTTTCAAAAAATCACGATTCGCCATGCACTCAGCAGTCTCACCGAAGTCCTTTTGAAAAGTTCCGGCTCTGTTAATTTGTGTCCAAACTCCTCAAGTGAAACTGTGAAATTTGTAAATGTGCTGCATGGGCTCGACTTTCTCTTTGGAGGATGATCTGAAAGAACAGAAGCCAAAGACTCCTTGAGTGAACTCTGCCTTGCATTTCTCTTTGTCGTGCTGCAGTGTGGTTGAGGCCACCACCGAGTCCAAGAACATCAAGCGTGAAAGCAAGGTGTACTCATTCAAGGAGCAGATGGAGGAGATTGAGCTGAAGAAGGTAAGGACACACCCCAGACGTCTCATGTAGCTCCTGTCCTTTTGCAAGTGTGCATGTGGGTGCATGTTCGGGCGCATTTCGAGGAGTATGTCAATACGGAGCTGAGGAAGGCAGAGGAACAGGCAAAAATACACTTGGGATGGTGGGAGAGTGCAGGACACTGGTGGAATCTTACAGGTCTTGCAGTATGAAAACAATAATGCTTTGGTTTTGTAAGTGAGGAGTGCCAAAACGTTCTACCAAATGTCACCGTTTTGGTACTCCACATCCCTTGCCATCACAGTTCGAGGCATATCAGTGTAATTTTGACTCCAAATGCTTACATCAGAGCCAACATTTTTTTTAGCGGCCAGATGTGCAGCAACATGACTCCTTTGTCAAGAGAAATAGCTCATAGCAGTCGGTATATTGCAAAAAAAAAAAATACTGTCATGTGGAAGTACACTCGAGCCCGCTTATAACGAACCTGAGCGTGACGCGGCATTCGTTCGCTGTATCCCGTAGTTCGTAGTAAATGAAACACAGCTTTTAAGAAAAGTTGCGAGTGAAAACACATTTTTTGCCCCAAAAAGTCCGTGATGCACGTGTTTCGAAGAGCAAAAGCCATGAGGGCGGTCTCGAGTTCATTCAAGGGGGGACATGGGTCTTAGGACTCTATCATTTATTTTTGAACCAAATGTGACAAAAGTTGGCATGCTTACTTAAATTTGTTCTCCTGATTCTAAACATGTAGTTATTTTTTCTGTAGCTTCATTAGTTAACTAAATAATCAAGATAACAATTTCTATTGTTCTTACCACAATAGAAAAATAACCACCTGTCAAAAATTCATAAATGACATAGGGATTGACAGTAGAAAGCATAAGACATACAACATAGGAAGCACTTTTTTGATTGAGTCATTATTTTTTACTATACGGTACACTAAATTTTACAGCTCTGAATGTGACCATTGTGTGGTCACACAAAAGACTAGTTTAAAAAACTTGCATCAAGAGAAACCAAAATCTGCTTCCGATGTTGTGTGCTCCAAACATATAGCTTCACGCTGCAAAAAAGTATTCTATCTGTAATAGTTTCTGACATATTGCAGTAATTTTCATGCAGGGTGTACAAAATTGCCATTTTGAGAAAATGAAGAAAACAAAGAATTCTAACATTTTTAACTGTAAAAATTTATGTACTTAGAATTACATAGCCATTGACATATGAATGAATTCTAGAAAGCCTAAGGAGTGCAATGTTGACAGCTGATCGAAAATTGAACGAGTACTTTTCGAATTACATCACAGTAAAGATTATTGCATGTAACCAAATACAGAAATTTTTTTATTAACAAAAAATGAAGCTGCCCATTAAAATAAGTTCCCAGCATTGTTTTTGTGCACATTTAGCTACATTGTGCAATAACAATTACAGCTCTAGTTGTCTTAGGTCCACTTTTACTGAACAAGCAAAAGAAAGTGGTCAAAATCTGTGCTTCGAGAATAATGCTGTAAAACTTTATTGCGCCGTTCCGAGGAAAAATATCATGGCACCCATACTTTTAGTCAGTTAATATGCACCGGGAATGTAATAGGATTGATTGTTTGCATAAGTGTGTCTTGTCTTCAAGTCCTGTAGCAAGTTGTTGCCGTGTGCTCGTCTGCCTTGAGGCCGCTTATCAATTCGGTGACTGTATTGACGGCGATGTGTGACAAATGTGCGTGCGTCATCTGCGATCCGCCGAATAACACGGCGATGTTTTCCGGCTTGTCCTTACCCGTAAATGTCGCGAGCCAAAGTGGCTCCCTCGCTCATCAATTTCGAGGCTACACGAGTGCCGAGGTGTTAGTTTCCTTTTCACGTAAGACTGCCGCATTTTCGAGCGGAGATCGCGACAACGTTCAGAACACGTCTTTAAAAGCAGTCTACCTGCTGCCAGTAGCCTCCATTGCGGGGGCGGCGAGCACAATCACCGCGAACGGATTGACTTTCTGTTGCCCGTCGACGCGCGGCATACTCCACTCTGACAACCCTTCGCGCAGTTCAAGGTTCTCTCGTCAGGCGGGGGAAACCGTGGCATCAACGCAATTAGCGATAAGACTGCGCTTCCGTTCCATCACTGCAAAGATTGATATCTTTTGTAGCTTCACTCCTGCTTTTTACTTGCCATCCTCTAATTGATGAGGCTGCAAAACACAGTCGTTCTCAGTAACGTTGTCGGCAACCAACGGGCTCGTATGTGAGTTAGGCTTACACTGGTGACTCGGCGACCGCCGTTGACCGCGTCGAGTTCGTTATCCTCGTTGTCCTGAGCCATAGCGGGGCTCATTCTAAAGTTCACAGCGAACGAACGTTCACCACACCCACTTCACAAAATACTTTAGCACGGAAATTCTTTACTGCCGCAGGTAGTCAGGAGCACCATGACAAAATGGCGCATGTCCGTGCACGGCACAATGGGGAAGCAGACGCCGGAAACGCCACTTGGCCAATCGGATGCCTAGGTTTTGTCACATGCCCCAAGCATCCAATAGAATCGTGCACTAGTGCTTCTCGTTGACGGGTTTTTGCTGAAAAACCAATGAGCAAGGGGAGCCAGCCGTGGCGGGAAAGTGAAGATGAAAAACGACCCTTCCAAACGAGAACAAGATGAACATGATAGCTCGTGTGTAACGGCAACAGTTCGAGGCAGAAAAAGCGCGATTTTAGTGTCAATTTGCGCTCACATTCATTTGCAGGGATGTTATAAATTGATTTTGCACCAGAAATAATGATGCGAGAAGCTAGAAACTTCTCCGACAGGTGCAGGTAAAGATTCCGAAAATGTCAGCTTCAAAAAGTCAATTTTTTTGTGATTTTCGGCCTTCTAGTACCCTTGTCCCCCCTCAAAACAGCAGGGTACTCATTCGTCGAGGCCCTTGGCATAAGCTGCATAAGGCACTGGCTCCAAAGTTTCGTCATTCTCGCAATCCGATTCCTCCAAATCGCTCTCGACATGTACTTCATTCACAATGCCCCAATCCGTGCCCTGTTCTGCGGTGTCGGCATCATCATCGGCCCTAATTAAACCATCGAAACAGATGTCCCACCCGCTCTCCCAGGTCAGTGTTGACGACGCACTAACAAATCGCCGCCGCAGTTCAGAAGTTCAAGGCTCGGCATCGGGCCCGACGTCGACGAAGTCGGCCTCGAGAAAACAGTTTCGCGCGCTTGTAGCCATCACCGCCACCCACGAAATATTCACCATCTCCGCAGCTGAATACCGGGATGCCCGAAGCAGCAAGTTGGATGCCAGGTTATCAAAAGCTATGAGCAAGCGCTCCGCAATGCGGCACATAACGCGCAGATTACGCTCAAGCCAAGCGGTCACACTTTCGACGTTTTGTTGAGCGGCAGGAAAAAGCGTGCTAGTCCTCCCGTCGGCCATCATGACTGCAAGGGCACACCAGGAGCGAGCAAGACGCGCACGCGCGACACACATGCCAGAATGCGTGGAACAGCTCTGGGCTTGTTTCCAGTCAGGAAACGAAACGAATTCGAGCGGGCTTCACGGAGCGGTGGAGACGAGCGAAGGGGTTGTGATCAAGAGGGGAGAGCAGACTTGCTAGAGAAGGGCAAAAAGTTGCGATAAAGAGAGGGGAGAATGCGGCGGGAGGGTGACCTTAAAAACCAAAACACACGGGAAGCAGGCAGGTTGGGTAGCTTGCTTGAAAGATCCGCGATACTGGCACGTAGAAAAACTTGAAAAGAGTGCCTGCGCGGGCAGTAGTCAAAGCATGGCCGCCTGGATCGGTGCGCGCGGGTGTTCGAAGAATCGGCGGCCGTGGCCAAAAAATTGTTTTGTTGCGCCGGCGGGTTTGAGTGGCCTCATGAACTTTGATATTTCGCGATTCGTTCTGCCAAATTAACAGCCGCTTTCGTGCTTCCGCACGCGCGCAGAAGGCATGCTTAGTCGAGTGCAAAGTGAGCGAGAACAAGTCCTAAACACGAAACGAATGGCAAATAATTAGAGTCGGTGGGGTAGCGTACGCGCGTGCACTAGACGCAGACTATCGGATACAGTCGGTGGCCGACGTTGTTGGAAAATGGTCTGGTCACTCCAGGCCGGCAACGCCAACGACAGTACCAGCGATCAAAAACAGGGTAGATGGCTCACCTGTCTTTGAAAGATCAGTGGCAGTGTGAAAACACGGGCCTCGTCTGGCGATGCGGGGTGCTCAGAGTAGCGAAGGGACAAAGGACGGAGGGGTGCGTAACAAAAAGCAGTCGGGGCATGGAGGAAGGAAACAACTTTCCTTCCTCCATGGGTTGGGGAGAGCGGCAACTGGAGGGCCGCGGAGGCATGGTCAGCGTTTAGCAATAAAAATGTATGGGCACCTCGCTGATGCCTGATCGGTGGTCGAAATTGGTTTTCCGGGAAGTCGGCACACCGCTGACTTCGTTCGCTATAACCGATCAGCGACGTGCGGAGACGTTCGTTGTAAATGCGATTTTGTGCCGTTGAACCAATGTATATTTTCACGGTCACGCTGATATTGTTCGTTCTAAGCGAAAGTTCGTTTTAAGTGGGGCCGTTTTATGTGGGCTCGACTGTATATGAATGCACAGGGTAGAAGGAGGGAAGCGCTTCATAGGAAAGACGCTCAATTTGCAGCTGCAGCTCTATAAGAAAAAAATTTATTGTACGAGAACACCAAAGCACGCAGGCGCAACGGACTATCGATGAAAAACGTCACCACTACAAAAGGTGTGTTTCTTTTCAACTACCTGAAACACACACTTCTTTGTCACTTAGCGCAGCCAAGGGAACACTGATACACATGCTTGCGTTTGCCATAAACTGTCTGCCCTGCTTCCGTGATTTCTCTGGTCAATCTTAATTCAGATTTACTCAGATTTTACATTAAACTTGCACTTGTAAGTTGAGTGTCTTTTATGTCAAGTGCTTTCTTCCTTCTACCTTGTGCGCACATATACACTCCAACCATGTTAATGTTACGGGATATAATGAAATAATGGATAAAACAAAGTGAATGGAATTCCCCTTGAAAGCTTCATTGAGAACCATGCATTTTAAGCCTCGTTCTAACGAAGTAAAGTTGACCAGTAAATGGATATAACAAACTAAATTAGTCTATGAAATAGTCTATCCAAAAAAAAAAAAAAAAAACAACCGTATTGTGTCAAGTATATCATTTTCTGCAGAGTTTGACGCTCGTTCGGCGCGGCTGTTTCAAAACTACCGCACCGACCTTACAGCCACGCCACACGCGGTCAGGAGAGCCGTCTTCACGCAGCCAGCGGAAAGGATCGAGGAAGCGCTGAGTGGGTCACATGACCAAGAAGTGGCACCGCGGTGCAAAACGATTGCGTCTACGGCAACGACTGTGTCTCCGCTGCTACCCTCTACACTGAGAAAGGAAGACTCTCCGCAACAGCTTTCTTTTTTTTCCTCTCCGCGCGCCGCCTTGAAAGGAGAAGGGTCTCTACGTGCAGAGACGGAAAAGGGAGAAGCATGACACAGGCGCGTCGCAGATCGGCATTTGAGAGAGAGCAAACAATCCGCCACAATCTTTTCTTTTCTTTTTCTTCTTTGTTGCATGTTGGGCATGTTTGGGCATGTTGCTGAGAGCATTTTCAGAGCGCGGTATATTCGAATTGACCATCGCAAGTGCTTGCGCGTTCGAATTAGCGGCCTTTTCACCCATTGGAATAGAGATACCTTTGACGGGACCTCAGCGTGAGTTCAAATTAACCGGAAGTTTGAATTAAGCGTGTTCGAAATAATGAGGTTCGACTGTGTTTATTTTCTGTCGCACGTGTGGTCACGTAGCAGTACATCGGGCCGTGAGGCGGTTTTCTTCTTTGCATGCTCATAGGTGTGCGCCCATCTGAGCAGACATTGCCACAAACTGTTATAATCGATATATTGAAATAATGGATATAACGAAATAATTGTGGCTTCCCTTCAACTTCGTTATAACGAGGTTAGAGTGTACATCTAGATTATGTTGCTGTCGCGATTTACCTCGGGAGCGCTTGCAGTGAATGGAGTTGAGGGAAAGATACGAGTCTGTGGTAACACGGCAAACCCATTTTAATACTAAACAGAACAGCAAATAGAGAGATGCACACAATAATCAGCTATAGAAGGAAACTGTAACTAATGTCGATCCAAGACAAGTTCAATCTTTAGCTCTAATCTGTCTTTAGCCAAGATGGCATCTCGGTCGCTACTCTGATGCGCTCTCACAATAGTAGAATATTCTTACTGTTCAGATGCCACTCTCACTACTACTACGAAGTGGTACCGTCTTGCCGTCATCATCGGCGGCGTGCATACGCTTGACGATTCACTCATCTGCATTGCCGGTGTCCGTCATCTTCGGCCCGCTTGGTCAAACCCAACTCGCCCATGGACTCGTTAGTGGTGCACTCTGATCACTGGTGTGTTTCTCACTCGTTCTGGCTTGAAGTGGAAGAGCTGTAGTCCCCCCAGGAACTGCTGTGCAAGGTTGCGGCAAGTACGGGCAGTCTCGCTCGACTCTTCCGAGATGGACGGCCACTTCCCGGGCTCTCACGCCGACATCCTTCAGAACCGGGCTGCTACTGCTTTCGTTACTGAGCGACGCTGGCATTCCTGACCTTCACAGTTCGAAGCTCCACAGCACAGTGCCAGCTCATCTGTGATTTTAATCACGGCTGTGGTCGCATGTCACGTGCCTTGTTGTGCAATCTCATTTGTGAATATGACGCGTATGCGCACCATCGGGAGTCTCGTGCACGGTTCTCGCATATCAGCACCCGGCACGTGCCTCGCGCCTTCTTACTCGCGACAGTTGCACCAACTGGCCCAGCATTCCACTATTTCAAAAAACAATGTCGCATTCCAATTCGTCAGTAATGTATGTGCCAGCATGTGCATAGTTTCCTTGCCCAGATGTGTTGTCATGTGTTGTGTGTGTGCAGGAGCTTGAGGCCAAGAAGAAAAGCAAGGTACAAGAGCCTGAGCTGACCAAGAAACAGAAGGAGGTGATGGACGCCCAGCTCCAGAAGGAGCATGCCATACGTCTGCGCATACGCAAGGTACGGCTTTGAATTTTTTGCTTCGGTACGCATGGCTATGCCTTGTGGGCGGAAGAGCCTTATATTCCTGTAAAAGATGTATCAAAAGTTCTGTTGCCGACACAATCATTCAGCGTAAAGGCTGAGTGCAATAAAGCTCAACCCTGCGAGCTGAGCTGATAATTATGGTTCAGAGGGAAAGTATGCGATTTCATTGCCCAATCTATCACCCTCAACTGCGTTTCCCTTCTTAGAGTGTCCACTCTATTGCTTTGATCACTGGTTCTCTGTCCTATGCATTATGTAGTTACCACAGGTCCCGTCCTTTAATTTGACGCCTTTTAGAATATCTTTACGTGGAAATAACAGTAGACAGTCCACAGCCACAACACGACTCGCCAACAATGTCAACCTCTTCGTTCTCAGTCTGAGGCACCCTTTTTGGGTATGTCCCACTATGCCTTGTTACTGTCAGCCAAAACCACGTAACACAACCCACGGCTGCAAAAGCGCCGACGTGGCGAGCTTACGGGGCCACAGCAAGAGCAGTGTGTTAACGCTTGAGCCTTGATACGTGGACGACGTCCCGGGACAGCAGAGCAGAAGAGGTTGATGGATCATCAGGAACAATTTCATATGTAGTGTCAGTCACTCGTCTAAGCTTGCGATATGGGCCCGTGAAATGAGAGAGAAGCTTCTCTGAAAGGCCTGCATGTCGAGCGCAGGAGACCGAAGAAGAACGAGGGAACCTGTTGGAAAGTGTTCGTCGCAATGCTGCTTGTCATATTGATGCTTCTGCGAGTCTTGGGACGCCGTTAATCTGCTGCGGGCAAGCTGGTGAGCATGGTCAGCTCGGGCAATGGTGTCGCATGAATATTCAGTAGTAGACTGCGCAGCGGCCAGCAGGAAGGTATCCAATGGTAATGTTGGTTCACGTCCAAACAGAAGGTAAAATGGGGAGTACCAGCAGTGTCATGCCGGGAGGAATTGTACGTGAACGTCACGTAGGGTAGTGTGAGGTCTCAATCACGATAGTCAGCCGAGACGTATTTCAATAGCATGTCCGTCGGGGTGTGGTTTAAACATTCTGCAAGCTTGTTTGTCTGGGGGTAGAGCAGAAACGCGGAATATCGTCAACCACTTTCGAAAAGAATGTATGGCCTCCGTCTGTAAGCAGTTCACGAGGGGCTCCCTGCACTAAAATGAGATCGCGTAGTAGAAAATCGGCGACGTCTGTAGCGCAGCTTGTTGGCTTGGCTCGCGTAAGTGCATAACGGGTCGCATAATCTGTAGCAACCGCGACCCACTTGTTTCCGGAGGCGGATGTTGGGAAGGGACTGAGAAGGTCCAAACCAACACGAAAGAAGGGCTTTGATGGAATGTCGATGGGCTGAAGATACCCGGCAGGGCGTCCCAACGGCTTTTTGTGCGGTGCTGGCAAATATCACAAGCATTGACATAGCGCCGTACAGAGCATAAAAGGCCAGGCCAGTTGAAGCGACGGCGCACACGGTCATATGTGCGAGAGAGACACCACAATGACCTGCGGTTGGCGCGTCATGCAGCTCGCAGAGGACACTGGAGCGCAGGTGCTTTGGTATTACTGGAAGTAGGTCGTGAGTGACGGGCGATAAATTATGCCAATATAAGGTGTGGTCCTTTAAACATGCGAACAGAAGCGTCGTACAGTGAAAATTCCAGCCGTTGTATTAGGCAGCTGATATCCGGATCGCGACGCTGCTCGTCACAGAGATGAAGCTACTGGGAGATAGTAAGGACGCAACCAACGGAATCAGTGCTCGTAGAGTCGCAGTTGGCCACAGGGTAGCATGACAGTCAATCCACATCTTTGTGCTGTATTCCTGACATACACTACGGTGTAAGAATACTCTTGGAGGCGGAGTGCCCAGCGGGCGAGACGACCTGTGAATTCTTTGAGGGAGGCGAGCCAGCAAAGGGCGTGGTAGTCGGTGAGAACTATAAATGGGTGGCCGTATAAGTAAGGGCGAAATTTCGCTACTGTCCATACCAGCGCTAGGCATTCGCGCTCTGTGATGGAATAATTTCGCTCCGAGGAGGACAGCAGCCTGCTGGCATAAGCTATCACACGATGCTGCCCGTGTTGTCGCTGAGCCAACACAGCGCCTATTCTGTAACCTTTGGCATCGATGCGGTCAGTGCAGTAGGGTTGAAGTGAGCCAGAACAGGAGAGGAAGTGAGCAAAGTGGTGATATAGGAGAAAGCTTCTGCTTGCGAGGGACCTCAGGTAAACGTCTCATCTGGTTTGAGTAAATATGTTAGGGGCCGAGGAATTTTCGCAAAGTTCTTAATGAACCGCCAAAAGTAGGAGCAGAGCCCCACAAAGCTGCGGACATCTTTGGCGGTTTTGGCACAGGATGCCCTGTTAGCGTGAGCCGAAACCACGTAACAATATCATCTACCATTGTTTGTTCTCTTATCTACACTGCTGTCTTCCAAACTTTTATTATTGTTACGTGTATGATTTCCCCATTCATAAGGCATTCCATGCTCCTTAAAAGGGGGAGCGTGGCCTTTTTAAGTCAAACTATTTTGACAAAGTCTATTTTTAAAGAAGCATATATTTGACAAAGTAAGTGCTATATAAGCTACCTCCTCTGCAGTTATCATCTTCTAGTTCATCATACCCCTTCGAATCAAATACAGTGAAATTTTGGTGATTCAAATCTTCTGGCGTTACGAACAATATTAGCATCATCCAAAATTTTCATCACCAGAAAGCATGGAAAATCAGAATGCTACCAGTAAGCGAAGAAAGAAATCCAACAAGCATTTTCATTGATTGTTTTGTCTGTGTCGTAGCGTCATGAACAGCTGTGATCGGCGGCCGGTAAATTTGTTGGAAATCGGCAATCATACTTGTACTCGTCAATATATGGCATGTGCTTGTGTGTAATCAATGAAACAGATGTGTAGCGAGCCATGGTAGTTAGTAACCTCTTTTTAATCTACGTACACTTTTTCTTATAACTCCTGAGTACTGCAGCAAAAGTGAATTAAGGAACGCTTTGCACACTGTCTCAGACATGTAGGCTGCACGCTTTAGGAAGGCAGCGTGCTTTTATATTTCAGAATGGAGAGAGAAATTGTAGAAACTTGTTATATCCTGAAGTTTGGTTGTGTGCTTGTGCTGTGTGATTTGTTTATGCTACCGCCTCTTGACACCTGTTTGTTTCACATCAAGTAGAAACCAGCTTCCCAAAACACATCTTGCCATACACAGAGCGCTCATGCTGGAGCTCAAGGGAAAAGGGAAAGGGTAGAACAGCAGTGCATGTCTCAGCGTTGTGTGGCAGCACTACTGCAGCATGACATAGAGGCGAATTATCATGCCCGCCTAATGAACCCTCCCACCAAACTGACCTCATCTTTTCTGAAAAAAAAAAAAAAAAAAGGGTGGGCTTATTACCCAAGTAAATCCGTTATGTCCTGCGTAATTGAGCAATGGCAGCATTTAAACATTTCTTTGTCAAGGTTTATCTTGGATCATTTATGCAGCGTACATTGTATTCTGGGTTATATTTATTTAATAGTCATTCAAATTGTTTTAGCTAGTTTTAGTGTTTTAGTGACTTATTGCTGGCAGAAAGTCTAGGTGTGTGGGGTAGTGCCGCTTTAAACCTACTGCACGATTTTAGTAGGCGGCGACTTCTGTGTGCTCAGGCACCGATCCCTGCTACCTCAATTGTTGTGCGAGATTATGTTCAGAGTGCACCGCTTTGCAGAAACGAAACCAGCTCGTTGTTGCGGAGTTGAGTGTGGTTCGCGGGCACCGAGACAGTAATGGTAGCACACGCTTTCATGAGGCGACAGCTTAAAACGCACCTCCATTCGCTGCCAGAATCGCTAGAGCATTGTTTGCAGGAAGCTCACACAATTGCATTAACGCAACAGCCTTCTCGCCGCATCTGGCACGGTCTGAAGTGGAGTGGACGCTAGGGGCTCGGTATGGTGTGTAGGGTAAGTAAGCGAAGAGCTGCACGTAACTAACCAGTGGACGATCGGATCCCTGTGATATACAGTCTATCAAAAAAAAAAACAGTGTCAGTTTCTGCTAAGTAGCAGATTGCGGTACACATTCATTGCGGACAGCGGATAATGTCTGTCTTGTCGCTGTGTTGGTCGCTGCATTGGCTGCGTAATCAGGACCCCGCAGTGGTTTCGAAAGGCTCTTTGGTGTCGCCACCGCGTGCCATCAAACGGATGTGCGACAATGCCGATCATTTCTGAACAATGGCAAAAAGAAAGGAATGGTGTCGGGGGTGGGCAGTTTAGGCAATGTTTGCCGTGGCGCTGTATTTATTATTTCTTTAGTGGTGATGATGCATGTAAAGAAACGCAAATTGGTACTTTGTAAGAGGCATGTGCAAGGGGGGTGGGGACAGGGGGGCACATAGCCAGCCCTATACATTGACATGATAAGGAGGGGGGAGGGGGCGAGAGGAGGCCGCCAAGTCAACCCCATACATTGATATGTGATATGCCCCCCCCCCCCCGCCCCCCCCCCCCCCAGCCCTATACATTGATATGATAAGGAGGTGGGGGAAGAGAAGGTCACTAAGTCAACCCCATACATTGATATGCCTCCCCCCCCAAAGGGCAACCCTGCACACTCTTATGTACTTGATGGTTAATGCATACTGTGTTTAGTGCGTGGTTAGCCGTGTTCTCGGCAGGTTCTCAGCATGTATGTATGTATTAACGAGATTTTACTATAACGAGCTTTGAATGTGCTGTGCTCATGTGTGTGTGTGAGTGAGTGCGTGGGCTGGCTGCTATGAACTTCATGCTGCAGCTAGCTTGTTGGTGCAATCTCCTTCATGATCGTGTGTTACTGCTTCTGTACGTAATCCTACTTGTATGTTTTTTTTCTTATTTTGTGGGCTTGCCGCTACCGGGTAAGTTATTACGTAAACTGAGTGAAGGAAAGTGCAAATTAAGGGACTCGTTTTTTTTTGTTAGACACAATATTAATGAGAACTAACAGTAGCATACCTTGTTGTTGTGCGAGTTGGTGCCTTAGTTTGCTGAACATTTCGTAACTGGCGCAATGCTGGGAACATTTCGTAACTGGCGCAATGCTGGGAACATTTCGTAACTGGCGCAATGCTGGGAACATGAAAATGAGGGGAGGAAAGAGGCAGATAGGCACCAACCTACCAACTGCTTACTGCCAGTGTCGGCTGAAAAGCCGGTGAACTTCCACACATGCACAGAGGCTTCTGTAGAAGAGTTATCACAGACATGTCATCATGTGATGACATGTCTGCGGTAACTTTTCCTGACAATAATGCCAGGGAAAGCATAGGGGCTGTTGTTAGACGTACCGTATTTACCGTGCCCTCGATTGTAACACGGACTCTGTTTTTACAACGAAAAAAAAGAAGTAAGACATCGATTGCAACGCGCACCCATTTTTCTCGTTGGCCCGCACGATCACACTACTCGGGAAAACGACTCCTTTCGGGAGCGTCTTCCGTTTAAATATGAGGTACGGGGGAAGCTTGTGCCTATCTGACGTGCAACGAAGCATTGCCGTCACTCTTGTTTTATCGTGGCCCGATGTCAGCATGCGAACTTGCTTCGCCCCCTTCTTCTCGGCGATTGTGGTGCCAGACATGTCGAAGTAAAGAGGCGTCTGATTGGCACTCCCGATTTGCCCTAGCAGGTAGCCGTTGTTTTGCCGCAAGTTTAGGATGAACATCTGAAAACTGTGAAGCTTTTCTTCGTACTCCTCCGGCAAGTTTTGGCGCATGCCCGTTCGCTTTCGGAGGGAAAAGCCTTTCCTCTTCATAAAGTTAGTTAGCCAGCACCTGCTTGCTTCGAGCTGGCTCCGCGTTAGCCCTTTTTCTAAAGCTAACTGCATAGCCCGCACTTAGAGCAGTTCTGTCGTCATGGGCCGTTGTAACTGCATAGCCCGCACTTAGAGCAGTTCTGTCGTCATGGGCCGTTGTTCCGCTCGCTGCTCAAGCACATACTCGGTGAGCAGCTCTTCAATTTGCGGAAACCGACCCTGCTGTGGTCCACTGAAGCCTTTGCCTGAATCTTTGACAATCTTCTGCTTTTGTTTCTGCCAGTCCCACACGCACGTTTTGGGAACTCTGAACGACCGCGATGCGGCCCGATTTCCGTCTGTTTCGGCAAATGCGATGACTTTTCTTTTAAAAGCGGCATCGTGGTGCACTCGTCGAGTTTCTGGAGTCGGCCCTTTCATGTCGTCGATGCTAATGAACTACAAGATGACGAACTCCTCAGCTCACGTACGAAAGGCTGCACATGGGAAACACATAGGCTGAAATGACCGACGCGCCATGCTGAAGTACGTAGGGGGCGGTGATTTTGGAAATGCCGATGGCAATAGAATGACCGTATTCATATTTTTTCGCACTCGATTTTAACGCGCACACGATTTATGAACTCGCTTAACCGGAAAGAAGGTGCACGTTAGATTCGAGTAATTACGGTAAATGTAATGCAAATATGGAGAAAGGTTGATGAAAAGCTAACTTGCCACAGGCAGGATCCAAACCTGCGACCTTAGAGTAACGCGTACGATGCTCTACCTCTGAGCGGCATTAACACTTTCGTGATCACGAGAACTTTGGCTATTCTTGGGTAGTCGAGATACCCTTATTTTTTTATGGCACCCAATGTTACTGATGTTAATGTTTATGGTGTCAAATTGTAGAGGTAAGAGTTATCTTTCAAACACGGTCAGTTTTAAACCCACAAATTTATTAACAATGATATGAAAAAAAATTATAAATAAAAAATATTGTAAACTTGAACAAAGAAATTTCATAGAACCATTAACACTACTCTGAACAGGCTAAACATAGAAAGAAATCAAAACATACATTTTAAGAGCAAGGAGCACGCACATTTATCCTGTAAATATAAGTGCTATAAATACAAAAGCTTTTGTATACATAAAATAACATTACACGTAGTGTATTTCATGCCACTGGCTGAAGCAGTTTCGTGATGTGGCAAAACACAGGTTTGCTACGCATGTTTCAAAGAAAACACTCGCTTTCTGTTCAACTTTTCTTTGTTCATAGCATAATTTACAGTTCCTGATATTTTTTTTTTTGCTGGTGCCGTTAGTTCTGAGGGGCGTTCTGTGTGGGAGCATCAAGATGGACCGTGGGACCTCCAAGAACAGTCTCTCTCTCTCGCTTTACTTCGGCTTCTGAAATATATGCGTCCGAGCATATTTATTTGTGCTTTTGCATAGCTGTCCGATAACTTGAACAGAAAAAACAAAAAGTCGACAGCGTTCACGAAGTGCCGCGCGGCACTAGGTAACGCGGTTCTAAGGTTCACTTCCGGCTGCCTCTGTGCACGAAACTGCACTCCCTGCGCTGCCGCTGGCAAGTAGTCCTCCCCGAAGCAAGTGGACGTCCCACAGATAAGAGCCCCAACCTTCAGAACACATTGGATCAACTTACACCGACGCACGCCGGCAATAACGCGGCCTGAGCACAAAGCTAAACTCATTGTTTCATGACCGCTGATGTTTCAGGACGGTTTGACGAACTTTTGTTGTCCACGCTGAAATCAAGTGCCGATGTCATCTTACTAGCCTGTGCTTTTGTTGTCATTTGAATATTCCAGCCGAAATGCACGAGAATCCCCCGAAATTCGCTGGTTTCGCGAAGTGGTTGCAGGCGACGTCGACGCCATGATTGAAACTATGCGAGCGCACTCGCGCGCATGGAAAGGCGCTTCAAGATCACCACACAGTGAAAAAAGAGAAACACAAAAGCGAAACTGATAAAATACTTTTTCTTTTACACGTTAGACAGCGCAAAGTGTCCATGAGCGTTCGAAACAGGGCAGATATTGAAGTTGTAAACATCGAAAACATACTATAGATGGGGATAGGTGCGATCACAAAAGTGTTAAACTAAAGTTAAATTTTTTCCCTTCGCATATGTCATTGAAAGCCCGTGCGTGCTCCAAACAGAGGTAGCTGCTCCAAAAGCAGATCTTGCCTGCTTCAGTGGCTGCTTCAAAATGCTGGAAGGCATTCACATCGCTGGACCGGTTATTTTCCTTACGATGCTGACAATTCTTTTGGTAAATTCGCATGCAGCTTGCTGGCTCAGTGGAGCGTGCTATGCTGTTGCTGGATGCGGTGATGGCGGCCCCTGCATCCACAGTCTGCCAGTACGGGGCACCCCTGTTCCCACAGCTGGTGCAGGCCCTGACAGCCCTGTTCAACAGTCGCCTGGCAGCACCTATTGTGGTCCCTGCCTACCTGCGCCTCAAGGACATTCTCTTCACACCTGACCTGCGACAGTTTGGTCAGTTGCTCTGGCAGGGCTGGCAGCACATATTGAGAGTGCTGCTAGATTTAGATAGGTGCAAGTCATACTTTGCCTTTTGCAACCTTAAATTTTGCCTTGTTAATAGCAGTGGTGGGAAATCTGCCTATTGCGTCAATCTGTGCCAACTGTAAATTACTGCGCCATACTGCTCCAAAAGAGTCTTTTTTCTGTCTGATTTGAGTCATAACTACGCCACAAAATGGTTTTGGAACCGAAAGTAATATTCACAGCATGCATGTGAGCATATATTACGTCATGGTCGCCATCTTGTACACTTTTGCTGCTGCAATTGCGTGCCCTTGCGTAGCTTAAGATCGCAAAATAGCCCAATGAATTATTCCCACTTTCGCGGGATTGCGGTGGTGCTCTTTCTAATAATCAGTGGCAAAGATCGAAGGCAATGTGGCGACCACCGAAAAGTGCACCAGTATGACATCGCTGATAAAAACCGTACGTGTCTGGCATAGCGCCGCTTTAAGCCTACTGCACGCTTTTAATAGATCGTGACTACATTGTGCACAGGGGCGCCGATCGCTGCCGCCTCAATCGGTCTAGTACGAGACCGTGTTCAGTGTACACTGCTTTGCAGAAACGAAAGTAGCTCGCTGTTGCAGAGTTGAGCGTTGTGGATCGCGGGCACCGAGACAGTACGCTTTCATTACGCGACAACCCAAATGCGCCTCAGTCGCCAGGGCCGCTAGGGCATTGCTTGCAGAAAGTTCGTATCGTTGCATTAATGCAATAGCTTTCTTGTCGCATCTGTACGCGGTCTGAAGCCGAGTTGGGGCAAGTGGCTTGGTAAGGCGTGTACGCTAAGTAGGTGAAACGTTGCACACTACTAGCCAGTAGACGACATGCTCCCTACGACTGTACCACGTCTCAAAAGAATCGCAGCATATCTACGGAGTGAATGATAACGAATGGGGCAAATCGTCCATCTGTGCATCTGTCTGTGCTTCTGTCGGTCTGTCCGTGTGTGTGTCTGTGCATGCATCTGTTCATCCGTCCGGGCATCCGTCCGTGCGTCTGTTCGTTCATGCTATCGTCCGTGCGTTTGTCCTATTGCACTCACACGTCTAATGGACTAACACCATCTAGGAAATGAAACGAGAAGTGGTGATGAGACAGTGTTATCTATTATATGGTTCTGGAGATGCTGCGGGTTAAATCTGACAGAAGACAAGGTTAGTCTAAGCGGAGCTTCACCCAAAAAAAGCTGTCTCTGTTTTCGCTAATTAGCAGATCGCAGTGCGTTTTTATCGCAGACAGGGGCTTATGTCTGTTTTGTTGCTATGCAGGTCACTGCAGCGGCTGCGTATCCTGGATTCTGCAGTAGTTTTGATATGCTTCTTGATGTCGTCACCGTGTGCCATTCAACGGCCGTGGGATAGTGCCAGTCATTTCTAAAATTTTTGCAAACAGGAAGAAATGGTTTTGTGGTGGACAGTTTAAGGAATATTTGCTGTGGCACTATATTTATTTATTACTTCTTTAGCAGCGATGGCGAACGTAAAGAGATGCGAATTGGTTTTTGGTGGTTAATGCATACTACATTTAGTGTGCAGATAGCCGCGTTCTCGACGTTGTACATATTAACGAAGTTTTACTGTAAAAAGCTTTAAATGTGTGCAAGGAGGGGGGGGGGGGGCATAGGCATGCTCAAAGTTCCCCTTCAAGAGGAGGGGGCAAAGGTTCGTCGCAGCACCCCCCTCCCTATCATGTCAATCTACGGGGCTGGCTTTGCGCCCCCCCTCGCCTATCATTAGGCACGCCTATGTGATTGAGTGTGCGCGCGCGCTGTTAAAACTTCATGCTGCAGGTAGATTAATCGTCGGTGCAATATCTTTCACTGTTTTATGACACTGCTTCTGTATTCAATCCTGCTTTTGTTTATATTTTGTGCTTATTTCGTGGGCCTGCTGCTTCTGTATAAATGATTACATAAACTGAGGGGACTATAAGCTAAATTAAGGCTAAGTTTTCTTCCTCTGTGTATGTCATAAAAAGCCCGTGCATGTTACAAACACAGAGATAGCTGCTCCAAAAGCAGATTTTGCCTGCTACAAATGCTGGATGGCATTCTCGCCACTGTAATAGCCAGTAAAGCGCCTTTACAAATGTTAACCTGCGTCCACATTTGTGAATAATTTCCTAAGCAAATTACACTGCAGTAAATGAGTTAGTCTCAATGAAAACTTGTGCCTTTGTTGGCCAGGGTGTCCGTAAGAGGCGCCCTGGGCAACAAAAGCAAGAGTGTGACTGAGCATATGTGAGTGAGCAGATTTCCTGTTCAGTCACTTTCTCTCAAACTGTTCCTGTGCTGCCCCTCGGAGAAAGTTGCAATTTAGGTTTTGGCATGTTGTTTGTTACTGTAAATTGGCAATGAGTGCCATATTTAACTTACTTATACTTTTTTATTTTCATAGTTTGTGATTCTTGTTCGAATTTCCGTCTAGTGGTAGCAGTTGTGTTTCACTGCAACAATTGATACTTTAGTTATGCATTACCCCTGCGAGGGGTCTTGCGACGGCTGAAAAGTAGCAGTGTCGACTGTCCGTTCGCTCCTGTCTCTGCCTTCAGCTGCATCGGTGGGCTACTTGATGCTGCGGTTAGCAAAGCCCTGCTGCGAGGTGGATCCTCGGTGGACGGAAGAGGACTTGGACGCCTGCATGCAACGGGTGGTCACCCGCTTCCACGACCTGTCCTGTTCTCCGACTGGTGCCCGTCGCCTACCGAGCCCGGCGTTCTGCTTTACCTTCCCGTTGCTGCGCCTGATGCTGAGCAGCCCCGACACCAACGACATCCTGCTCACGCAGTGCCTGCAAGTGCTGTCGGCGCACTCGGTCATGCGCTGCACCGAACGTTTCAGTGTGGTCAGTGAGCTTTCTTGCTGTTGTTAGCAAGGTTCTTTGCTGGTAGAGTGGGATAATGTGTGTGACTGGGCCAGTGTTTATATGTTGAAAAAAAAAAATGAAAATGATGCAACAGTAGACTACAGTTGCATCCATTTATAAGTGACCTCACGGGTGGAACAGCTGTGCCATTGTGCGCCAAACTTGTTTACCTGTGCCATCTTGCACTGAACTGCCCCTGTTGCACCTAACTCGTCCATCAGTGCCCTACTGCGCTCCAGTGCCCGAATTCAGCCGCAAGGTGCAACTGCCATCAAGCCTCGTGCCTAAAAACGTGGCTGAAACTTGCTCTCAGTTTCATCAAAGCAGTTACAGTTTCAGTTTCGCCAAGGCTGTGATCGCTCGAGCAAAAGCTGTGAACATTGGTGCGGTCGCGACGACTGGTGCTTTCTATCCATGCCCTGCACTCTCAACTTAAAGACTGTGTAGAAAAAGGTATGCCTTCCTGGCGTGGCTGTATTCTCTTACACCTGCGTTTTGTAGTCAGGCGGTATCGGTTCCAAAAGAGTTAGCTGCCAGCCTTCACGTAACGTAACAATTTGTTGCTATCGCATTTATTGCTTTGCCCTTGTGATGAGACCGTCATATATTTTTATAACTGGATGGCACCATTAACAAAAGAAAAAAAAAAGGATGGCAATAAAAGTGCTCAAAACAAGCGTAATGGTGTCCAGTTCCTGGAACAGCCTAGCAAAGACAAGTGCACCTGACTGCGCATCAAGCACACACGGGTATTCTCATTCATTTTGCTGCCGTGCTTCATTATACAGCATTATTGACTTGGTGGTTGACGCTAGTGCATTTTGGTTTCAAAAGTGGACTTCTGTATATAGCTAAGAAAGTCACAGTATCACCGTGAGGGCAAAACAAAAAATACGATAGCAAAAAATTAGAATGTTTTTTGAAGTGATGCTGCCAGCTAACTCTGTTGGATTTGATATCACATAACTCTACAAAACGCTAATACCGGCACTCCAGGGAGGGTAGCACTTTTCGCATAGTCTCTTTGTGATGAGAGCACGGCACGTAGAAGTGTCTGCGAGTCGCCCCCAGATGGCTGCTGAGCTAACGCACATGGCAGCAATCATGTTGCGAGCACACAGTGCTCTAAAAAGAAAAGAAATTTATGTTCATGTACGAGTTTGGATTGGATAAAATAATGAATAAACAATTGCTGGGGTTTTAAGTCCTAAAACACATATATGATTGTGAGAGATGCTATAGTGAAGGGCTGTGGAAAATTTTGACCATGTGTTGTTTTAATGTGCGCCTCAATCTACCGTATAAACCGGACTATAAGTCGAGTGGGAATATAGGTCAACCCACCAAGTTCAGGTTACCGAAAAAAAAAAAAAAAGGAAAACAACCCAAAACTGCCGAACCACATTTATTTGCAAATTGGGCGCACCGCACCCCGATCGTTGGAGCTTCCCTCAACCACCATCGCAACTGCTCCTATTCGTCCGACAAAGCACCACTGTCTTCTCAAGACGAGAGTGTGTCGCTGGCCGCCTCCCACAGTGCGTCGTCTTCAGTGCCATCCAGCGAGTTGCTGATGCAACATTTCTTGAAAGCATTTTCCACCATGGAATCCGGCAAGAAACGCCAGGCGGAAAGCACCCAGCCACAAACAGTCGCAAGCGGAGGCCTCTGTAGGCGGCCCGTAGGTGTCTTGGTGTCATCGCCGGACATCCACTCTTAGTATTCCAGCCGCACTCGGTCCTTCAACGCCTTGTTTAGCACAACATTGAGCGGCTGGAGGGTGGACGTCATACCACCTGGTATCACGGCGAGGTCCGTTTCCCCATCGCCGAGTGCGCGTTTCACTGCGTCGGTTAAGTGGCCACGATACGCATTCAACACCAGCATGCTGCGAAGACGCAGCAGTGCACCTGGCCGACGGTTCCACACCACTCGTATCCATTCGAGCATCATGTCCTCGTCCATGTATCTCTTTTTGTTGACGCGAACGACAACACCGGGCGGGAACACTTCCTTCGGCATTGTCTTGCGTTTGAAAATGACGAAGGGCGGAAGCTTTCTACCATCTGCCGTGCATGCCAGCATGATGGTGAAGCGCGAGTGCTCGTTGCCAGTGGACAACAGCTTTACATCCTTGGCGCCGCGCTGCGTGATCATGGTCGACGAAGGCATGTCAAACCATTCGGGTGTCTTATCACCGTTGCCAATCTGCCTCATCATGTAGTCGTTTTGCTCCCGAAGCCGGTTCACAAAGCGCTGAAAGTTTATGAACTTGTCCTCGAACTCCTCCGGCAACTTTTGACAGATGAATGTGCGCCACCGGAGAGAAAATCTTTTGCGTCGCATAAATCGACGCACCCAAGAGCTCGGCGCACGAAACTCTTCTCTCGTGAGCCCAGCTTCTCGAGCGAGTTCCACGGCTTTCTTGCGAATGGTATCCATGGTCACTGGCAGCGAGCGCGCACGAACTTCCCGCACAAAGTCCGCTAGCTTATCCTTCAGCTGTGGATGAACGACACTTCGTCCACGAAATGACATTTTTCGAGGATTGCACATCTGGAGCTTCCCTTTCTGCGCCCTCCAATAGTGCACAGTTTTCTCCGATACACCAAAGCGGCGCTGAGCAGCCATATTCCCGTTCGCAGAAGCGAACGGGAATATCTAGTTTAAACGCAGCCGAGTACTGCCTCCTCGCACCGCTAGTCATATTCAGTGAACGAAAAAAAAAAGGCCACTAAAAATGCAGCGCAATGTCAAGCGGAGCGAAAACTTGGAACAGATCGGAAGCGAATCACCAAACACAAAGAAAACAGACAGAAAGAAAAAAAAAAAAAAAACAGACTGCAATTGGATTGGGATGCAGATATGGCCGCATCCTGCTTCGCAACCACATGCAAGCCACATGTTGCCAGACAGCGTTCTACTTTCGGCTAGACACCGCTATATAAGACGAGGGGCAACTTCAGCTTATTATTTTATTGAAAATATCTCGACTTATATTCTGGTTTATACGGTAGGTACACCGGCATCTTTTTCGCCTCCATTGAAATACAGCCACTGTGGCCAGGATTGAGGCCTGCGAACTTTCGGTCTGCATTCGACCACTATAACCATTGTGCCACCGTGCCAGCTTGTAAAATAGAGAAGCACCCAGTACAAAAAAAGGCTTGTAAATGCAGTGTAGTTATTTAAAAAATTGCATTTATACCTAAGAGAACTATTCATATTGTTACGCACAAGGAGGACCAGGACGTATACGGCTGAAGGGGGCCGTTTATTTTGGTCGCGAAGAGAAGCGCCGGAGCGGCCAACAGGTTGATGATCCCAGTCTCGTCGTCTTCTTTCTCCCTCCAGCTTGGGGCAGCCAGCATGTTCACCCATCTTCGTTTTCTTCCAAGGCATGCGTAACAATATGAAAACACGATTAATAAATGAAATACAGTTAAATTTGCCTCTAACTAACCTCTATGGAAGGAATTCCTTCATAACGCATAACACAGAAGTTTCTCTATTTCCCGTCGGTACTCCATATGAGAACATGTATCTGCGACCTCTATGTGTCAAAGTAGAAGCGAAAACATCCTTGATATTGCTGCGAACGTAATAACAGACAGCGACGAAACGACGCCTTGCTTGCCCTCAGACCAGGACGCAAAAGCCCTCTTCTTTGTTCACTTCCAAGGGATTCCACCTACAGTTGATGGCTCATACCCATTACCTGTGACATTACTCCCTCTCCTCGAAAAGCATCGGCTCGATGCTGGTAATGAGCGTTGAGGAAAAAAAATGAGAAAGAAAAGATGCTACCATGGAACCCAACAACTCCGTCGTAAGGGAAAAAAATGGGCTGGCGTCATAGAAGTACTCAATAAAGAAAGGAGTAAGTACACAAGACAATAAAAAAAAACAAACCAAAGTGACAAAGGAATAGTCATTGCATGGTAAGTTAGTCCACGTTCGATGGATGACGCGAGAAATATGGCTCGAGTCTTGACACGTGCACCACATCACTTTGTGGAAACCGACGGGAACGGCTTGAGGCGCCCTCATGGAGAACTTCATACGTAATGTCACTGAGTCGGCGCAGAACTTTGTAAGGGCCGAAGTAGCGCCGAAGCAACTTCTCAGAGTGACCACGCTGTCGGATGGGAGTCCACACCCAACCCAAACTTCATCGCCTGGTTGAAAGGTAACCTCTCGGTGTGTAAGGTTGTAGCGGTGTGCGTCGGCAGTTTGGCGAGAATGAATACGGCATCGGGCGAGTTGACGGGCCTCCTCGGCACGTTGAGCGAACAATGCAGCGTCCGCGTTGAACATGCTCAAGTTGTTGGGAAGGAGCATTGCGTCGAGCATTGTAGTGACCTCTCGACAAGCAAAATGGGGTGAAACCTGTACTCTCTTGGACTGCTGTATTGTAAGCAAAAGTTACGTAAGGGAGTATATCATCCCAGTTCTTGTGATCAACAGCCACATACATTGACAGCATATCTGCAATGGTCTTGTTCAACCGTTCAGTGAGTCCATTTGTTTGGGGGTGATAACCCGGGGTTTTGCGATGTTCTGTACCACTTAGTCTCAGCACTTCTTGAAGCATCTCTGCGGTGAAAGCTGTACCACGATCAGTAGTTATCACAGCTGGCGCTCCGTGTCGAAGTACGATGCTGGTGACAAAAAACTGTGCGATTTCGGCTGCGGTAGCTTTGGGCAGGGCCTTTGTTTCGCTGTAACGCGATAAATAATCGGTGGCAACCACAATCCACCGGTTTCTAGACGAGGTGGGAAATGAGCCGAGCAAGTCAATGCCGATTTGATGGAATGGTGTCTTCGGCGTGGGGATAGGCTGTAGTAGTCCTGCTGGTCGAACAGGTGGAGTCTTACGGCGTTGGCAGTTGCAGCATGTGCGGACGTACTGCTTGACTGTCTTCGCGAGGTGGGGCCAGTAGTATGAGCGGCGAATTCTTTCCAAAGTGCGCGTGTAG